TTGTTGGAACAAAAGGACCATCACATATGACATCCCATAACTCAGAATCCTCAACCATGATAAAATCATGCATTCTTGTTTTCCACCACCCATAGTATTGTCCATTGAACCACGGTGGTCGGTATGTAGATTGACCTTCTTCAAAATTTGGTGGAGCAGCCATAAGGATACTTCCTAGGTGTTAGCCTGATAGGAGGAACCCGCTCTGATACCAATTGTTAGTTTGTATGAGTCCACCAAACAGTAGAGTACCTGGTCCTCTATGAGGTTATGCTGAGAATGCTAGTAAAACTGTAAGTAAATGAGACACAGGATTTTTATGTGGAAAAATCCCAACTCAAATGGACAAAAACCACGACCTACACCTGTAGGCTTTCAACTTCACTAACTTGTAAACACCTATTACAAGTCACTTTGTAATAACTCTATTGCAAAGGATTCAACTCAACTAACTTGTGGTACTCTCACCACAAGCCATTTTGTCACTCTCTAGTTACAAAGACTTTAACTAACTTGTGATACTCTCACCACAAGCCACTTTGTCACTCTCTAGTTACAAAGACTTTAACTAACTTATGATACTCTCACTACAAGCCACTTTGTCACTCTCTAGTAACAAAGACTTTAACTTATGACTAAACCTAGTCACAACATAAACTCAGAGAGTGTACGGATTTTACAAGAGGGTTCCTAATCAATGCTTCTGGCTAAGCAGTTTAGGAGATACAATAAGAACAATCACAAAGTTACAACTCAACTAAGGACAACAAAATACTAACTTTAGGAATTGGTCCGTAGTAGCGTTTAACTTTGTTTTTCAAGCTCGTGAGAATTGATTTCTCTGTTTTGAAAAAGGCTTGAATGAGAATTAGAAATGTTCAAGTGATGTTTTGATATAAACTCATTGTTGATACACCTTGATGACACCACTTGAAATGATGTAAGCACTTTAGTTGGTCAAGGAGTAAGTGGGCACTGGAAATAGTGCAGTGCAGGCGGTCACGTTGCTTCCAGCTGTGTCCAATTGACTTTGTACTGCTATGAGGGAACCACAAGGGTATAGGTCCTTGTTTGGTTTTCTATCTCCTCAAGTTATGGCAGTTTACATTTAGTTGGAATCCGTTAAATAGTCCATGTGTGTCAGGTTTCCTATCTGGTCCTTGACAGTAAGTTTGTTGGATCATCAAAACATAAGGCAAAGACATTGAAAACCTATTAATAACCTGTTGCAGTTCGAGCGAAGTCGAACTTTTCTCTTTTTTTTTTTATTTGGCGATGGCCCTTGGCCGTAGAGGTGTTATTTTGAGTTGGTCAAAATATTAACCTGTTGCAGTTCGAGCGAGGTAGAACTCTTATCTTTTTTTTCTTTGGCGATGGCCCTTGGCCGTAGAGGTGTTATTTCGAGCGGGTTGAAATATTAACCTGTTGCAGTTCGAGCGAGGTCGAACTCTTCTCTTTTTTTTTGTCGATGGCCCTTGGCTGTAGAAGTGTTATTTTGAGCTGGTCAAAATATTAACCTGTTGCAGTTCGAGCGAGATCGAACTCTTCTCTTTTTTTTTCTTTGGCGATGGACCTTGGCCGTAGAGGTGTTATTTTGAGCTGGTCAAAATATTAACCTGTTGCAGTTCAAGCGAGGTCGAACTCTTCTCTTTTTTTTTTGGCGATGGCCCTTAGCCGTAGAGGTGTTATTTCGAGCTGGACGAAATATTAACCTGTTGCAGTTCGAGCGAGGTCGAACTCTTCTTTTTTTTTCTTTGGCGATGGACCTTGGCCGTAGAGGTGTTATTTCGAGCTAGTTGAAATATTAACCTGTTGGAGTTCGAGCGAGGTCGAACTCTTCTTTTTTTTTCTTTGGCGATGGCCCTTGGCAGTAGAGGTGTTATTTCGAGCTGGTCGAAATATTAACATGGTGTAGTTCGAGCAAGGTTGAACTCTTCTCTTTCTTTTTCTTTGGCGATGGTCCTTGGCCATGGAGGTGTTATTTCGAGCTGGTCGAAATATTAACCTATTGCAGTTCAAGCGGGGTCGAACCCTTCTTTTTTTTCTTTGGCGATGGCCCTTGGCCGTAGAGGTGTTATTTCGAGCTGGTCGAAATATTAACCTTTTGCAGTTCAAGCGAGGTTGAACTCTTCTTTTTTTTTCTTTGGCGATTGCCCTTGGCTGTAGTGGTGTTATTTCGAGTTAGTCGAAATATTAACCTGTTGCAGTTCGAGCGAGGTCGAACCTTTTTTTTTCCTTTGGCGATGACCCTTGGTCGTAGAGGTGTTATTTCGAGCTAGTCGAAATATTAACCTATTGCAGTTCGAGCGAGGTCGAACTCTTCTCTCTTTTTTTTCTTTAGCGATGGCTCTTGGCCGTAGAGGTGTTATTTCGAGCTGGTCGAAATATTAACTTGTTGCAGTTCGAGCGAGGTTGAACTCTTCTTTTTTTTTTCTTTGGCGATGGCCTTTGGCCAGATAGGTGTTAATTTGAGCTGGTCGAAATATTAACCTATTATGAGTCCTAGAAACCGTTTTTGAGAGTTTCAGGTGTACCCTGAGGAGTCCCGGTTTTGCTCAACCTCTGCGTTTTCTGGGTGAGTCCTGGTTTGATCGATTTTGTTTGCATCGGAGAGAGCGATGTCAGAGGGTATAAAACGTTGTTATGTTACTCACGTTCATTTCATGCTTGTATTGGGGTTTCCCTGTCTAGTCCCTTCGTATTTCGGTCTGGAGACACCGTTGGCAAGCGAGGCAATAGATTATACTTTGAACTTTGGTGACGTCCCCCTTTTTGTTTCGATCAAAACCTCCCCGAGAGAGCCCAATCGGGACAACACCTGGGTGAGGAGAAGGAACACAGCCTGGGGGACGTCCCTTTCCAGAAGTTGAGATGTCTGGGATGGGTGGCATTCAAGTTATTTTGTAATAGTTCATCTCCAATTGGAATGCTTCTTTGCTCGCTTGTCCATGTGATGTTTGTGTTCCTGTTTAAGCAAACAACAGAAGATAAACCAAAGTTAGATTTTTCTTACCTCGATCCGATGAGTCGATGACGAGGGTAGCCTTATGGCGTTGTTCACTCTGCCTGGCGTCTAAGTGTTTGACAGAATGGAGGTTTGTGGATTCGGTAGCCGCATTCAACTCTCTTTCCCCCCTCCCCTTTTTTTGGATGCCCTGCCCCACGTGGGTTAGGTTTATCTTATCTCGCTCGTGGGCCATCCGGTGTGTGGGATGGGAGAATGTTAAAATAGGGCAAGATGCGTCCAATTTTCTATAGGATCGCGCAGCAGGTGCCGTCTCCTCTTGTGAGCTTTGCGTGGATATTGATTGTAACTTCTGCTTTCATGTAGCATCAAAATTTAGATTAGCACGTGAGATTTACCTACCATTCTTTCTGGTGGGTGATTGTGTTTCACTAGTTTTGGACCTGAAGGAGACTAGGAAATTTGGCTAAGAAATCCCCACAGACAACGTCAAATTGTTTGACCAAAAGATGTTAAAACCTTTATGGGCTAATCAATTAATGGCAAGGAAAGGAAAATCTTAGCCAAGCATAATCAACTTCAGACCTTGAAATGCATTGCGCGATAATGAATAACAAAATAGAAGGAACATTTTTCTATTCCTGATGTTACAACCCTATCTTTGATAGGAAGAATGAAATTACTATTTACATCCTTCGGGGGAGGAAATTGATAGAGAAAAAAGAGACAGTTCAGAAGCCCCCCTTTTTGAGCATCCCCTCTATATATAGTTCTCAGAATTTTACTGTGTTCTTTGACCAACGGGTTCTTCACGTGACGATCTAGACGTCGTTACTCGAGTACTGTTCTTACTCAGTATTCATCGTCGATGATTGGACTGAGGTTGGTCGTGGTGTTTCTCATCATTTCGCCACTTAAGCGAGACCCCAACTTGGTTGTCTACTGTGGTCAGATTTGACCCATACAATGTGATCTTCCATTCAGATTTACCGTCTTTCTGTTAACTTTGCTTTGTTGGGTATAAAAGGACATAAACACAGCTCCTCATTCTCGTACGTAGTTGAAGTGTAAAAGGCAGGAGTCCACCGTTAAGGTGAATAAGGGCGCATGTAAAGCTCGGATTAATTTTTTTTTTCTTTACTTTTTCTCTAACTATTAACAAATTAAACCAATTAAAGATGCTATTTGTTAAACTAAACATGCTTTGTCCTTCATCATTCCTTTACAGTTTGTATGGATGGTTATTACTTTTTGTATTGTATCGTATTGTTACTTTAAATACAATTTGTTTTGATTGTTACTTAAATTTTATTGTATTATATCGTTAAATTCGTCGTTACGTAATGACGGAAAGTATCACTTTATGTAACGACAGATTTGGTGTGGTGGCGTCGTTACCTTGCTTTTTTCTTTCATCTTGCACTTTCTTATTATTAAACAATCATATTTTATCTTTTACCCTATTTTTTTATATAATAATTCTACTTCATATCTTATTTTCTCTTAGTAATATTGCAAATTTATTTATCATATCATTGATACGTGACATGAAATGATGACAAACAATATAAACTATCCAAATATTATATTTATCAAACAATATAACACAATACATTATAAAACAATATAATACAATACATTATAAAACGGCCATGCAACAAGTAACAATCATTTAAACAAGCTGTGTCGTATATCATTCCTTTTCTACCTCTTCTCGATTACACCTCCCTTCCCTTCTTCAAACTAGACTCTGGATGTCCACATATTTCACGATATCTCCTATTTAATATTTTGAACATCCATCCAAACGACAGCAAATGACATATAGGACCTCAAAAGGTAGTCAATAATGGGGATGGCCAAATACAAATAAATAATATAATGCCCACAACACTATTGGATTGAAATAATTGCGATCCCCATAAGTTTGTCCCCATTAGCAAAGCACATGGCTTTGCCTCCCAATAACTTTAATATGTCATGTTACTTGTCTTCAATTTATTAGTAGATAACTTCAAAGTGCCACTTACACATATGGCCCAAACAATATGTATATAATTCAAGATACTCAAAAATAGGGCTCCAACCAATATGAGGCTGTCACATACTAGTTGACAACTATTCAAATCTTTTCTTCTCGTAGATAATATTTTCACAATTTTTATATATATGTTATAAACCATCAAATTACAACAGATTTAAAAACTCCAAGGTCAATTATATAATTTGACCATGGAAACAAAACAAAAAAAATAAAAATACAATGAACAATTAATTGGATCATCAATTTCAGCTTCTGTTCTTGCATTTCTCCACTGCTCTTGGTGCTGCATAAAATTTAGCCATTTATCTTAGTGACAGAATTTGAATGACAAAATAAGGAAAATAAAAATTAAATATAATGAGTAATCTAGAAATTAATTCCTTGTGTGAGTATGTACCTAGTCCAATGGCCTCAGATCCTTTCATTATCCTTAAGCGTTTGCATGAATCAACAAACATCCTAGAATAGAAGTAAGAATTAGTTAAAGTTAATCACCAAATTAACGTAATAAAAATAAAAGAGTATGATGAAAAATGAATAAATATTGGAGATGCAATTAGAAACTTACTCCCAAGGTACATCACCAACAAGCATCCAGTCTCCATCCTTGTCTTCGTAAGTAGGTACATAGTCTGAGCCATTTAAGAGGTCTATTAATTTGCTCTCATTCATGAAATCCTTAAATCCATGAGTCCCACAATTTCCTACATAAATTTCAAGAAAATAAATGTTATTATATCAAAAATTTTAGACAGAAAATAGCATATCTTACTCCATCATTTTTTTTTTTGGTAAGTAAAAAATATATATTGTCTTCATTTCATTTTGGTAAAAAATTATTGGCAATATGCTTTGCCATTTGTACGTATTTTTTTTTATCTGCAGGTCTCGAACCGATGACCTGTGGTCTAAGACGGAGGAATTCCACCCACCCTACAATTCCTTGGTACTTTAAAAAGATCAAAGCAAATATTAATTAGCGGCCCAATAAATTTAGAATACAAAATGGTTAAATTAAAAATAAAAAACTTGGAGTGTGTAAAGCATATTTAATTGCAAAATATGAAAAGGTAAAAGAATATTTAGGTATATACCAATGGTGAAAGAGCTGAACATTTTGCCAAGGGCATCAGAGAGTTGTTGGTAGCTTTTGTACATCTTTAAGTCCACTTTACGTAAGTATGGAGCTCCGTCCACGCTAACTTTCACAAAGGCTGCGCCGCCGCCGGAGCTTTCGCCGTTGCCGGTGCTGTTCTTTTGGACGGTTAGTACATTCTTCCTGAATGATCTCACTGGTGGCCAACCCACAACTTGTGCCCTAAGATAAGCAAATAAAACAATAACATTTTCCATTAGTTCCATGCACTCATAATTTTCCATTAATTATCCCATAAATAAAAGATATTAATTCCCTCTTTCTACATAAAAAAAGGTATTCTTATTATTTTGTGCATATAAAGTGAAATTAGGTCCAAAGCTTGCCAAGAACTTAAAGCAAATATTGTCATAGATTCATATGTTAATTTATTAAACTAATATTAGATCGGGGCCGAGCTAGAAGTGTTCGATCAAACCTAGTAGCTTTTGTTCAAAGAATGTATTTGTATTAAGAAAATTATTAAATATGTATAAATATTAAATTTTTTAAATAGTTAATACTTATTGGACATAGCTACTTTTGATAAAGTGGTTCAGCTAGATGTAAAGTTTATACTGTTTTTATAATAGTATTGTACCATTTGTTATCTTCTAAGCACACACATGCTTTGTCTCAGCAAGAGGTAACAAAGAAATACTCTGTAAAGTACCTCTAGATTTGTTTTCTAGAATGAATTGTTTACATATTCAAAAAGAGGGTGAAAAGATAATAAATTAAAGGTCCATGTGTTTTCCACTAAAATGTTGGGTAATGAAAGTAAAAGATTCCAAATGTTTTGTTCTTTTCTCCATCTTCCAGACAAAAACAAGTACCAACCACAGCCCTACCCATTTCCAATTAAAGTCCAATTTTGCTCAAAAAAGATAGGTTACAGTTCTGACACCTAACATTTCGTTTTTTCCATTTTTTAGGGGAAAAAAAATTAGAAGCAAATTAAAGTAATTCTAATCAATAAATTCTCCTAATAATACTTTGATGTAGCATTCCAAAGGGTTTTCCGTAATTCACTATTTGATCCCTAACAGAAATTAATTACTAAGGTTTAGCGTGATTTACAATGCAAATCCAGTAATTTATAACATACAGCACGAAGTAATTAGAATTTGCATGAAAATATAATAAAAGGAAGAAGTAATAAAAGAAATAATTCGACAACAAAAAGCAGAAAAGAAAACTTTCTTGGTTCCTTTAGTATTGTACATTATTATTAAAACTAAGAGTTAATTTATCATACCCTGAACTTAAAACTCAACAAAATTAAGAAATATTCGGGAATTCCTATATAAAATTAAAGTTCCAAACCATACAACATGACTAAGAAAAATTCGTATGACTTTTTTTTTTTACTACTTTCACGTAAAATGGGACGAACTGATAAAATTCCATTGCCATTTTAATTAACTACTGCTACAAATATTATTTGCATCAATAAATAAATAAATAAAACACACAAATAAAAAATTACTTGGCTGGTGGCTTAGCAGGATCAGTGGGAGCAATATTCTTCTTCTCCTTAATGTTGTCAACTTGATTATCAACTGTGGAATCCTTTGAAGAAAGGTTTAGTTTCAAATCAACAGTTTCTGAAAAGACTCTCTTCCCATTATTCTTTGACGTCATTTCACCTTCATTTCCATTAATGGCTCCCGGCAACCCTAGCCTCAGCTCCGTCTCCGCTTCATAATCCAATCGAATTTTGTCACACTCCGCTCCCATCACACTCGTCATCTGACTTCTGTCAAGATTTTAACGTGGAAAATCCTTCTTCAAAATACAATTAAAAAAAATTCTTTATTCCTTTTCTTCTCTTGTTTGTTTCTTTGGTGTTTTTCTTTTTAAGTTGACAATGAATGTGTAAGAAGGGTATAATGAGCATAAGGAAGCATGCTATATATGATATATGTGAAGAGTATGATATATTTTAGAGGGCAAGGATTGTGCCACGTGGAAATGAATGATTAACCGGGTCGGTCTCGGGTTGTCGGATAGTATATGTCATCAGTGACGCGATTTTGTTTTTGATTGGGGTTTTTAGTTTAATTTCTTCTTTTTAATTTTGTTTTCTTGTTTGGAATAATAATGGACTAAGCAAGTTGGCTACTATTTTTACGCTTACTTTTGTTTGTTAGGCTCCACTTATTGTCGTTCTTTTTCTTTTTTTACAGTAATAATCAATAATAAATCGTGAGCTAAAGCAGTATGATAAGACAATAGAGGGGACAACAATGACAACTTTTTCTCAGCAAACAAAAGATAATCAATTAATCAAGTAATTAATTAAAGGGTAAAATATTAAAAAGAAGAAAGGCAAAAAGTAACAAAAAGTGAGGAAAGAGACAAGGAGCTTTTTTTCTTTTTCTTTTTTTTTATAGCTAAATGTCTCCTAAATTGTCTTCCTTTTATTCTTGTGTCTAAACTAACTTATCACATAACTCTAGATTTAAATCACTCTGTATATTCCCATGCATTTCTCGTATTTTTATAAATGAAATTAAAAAAAAAACTAAATTGTAACACCAGTTTCAAAAAAGTCATTGGGGTATCGTTCTTTAAAAAAAAAAAAAATAGTTGTCACATCCCAAAATAAGGCTCATGGCTGAAACTTAGTGAGCTCAACCTTCAAGTCAACCTGCTCAAACATGTGTAACTTATACTGACATCAAAATATTCTAAACCCACTCAATTGAAACTAAAGTTATACATTAATTAAGACGGTGGCAAAATGGTTAAAATTAAACAAAGATCCTTTCATATTATCCATTAAAAATGGGTTGAATAATGAACTTTTTAAAAACGAATTAAATATGAATAAGAACTATATTATCCACTCAGAAAATTGATAACCAATGGATAACTAATAGGTTTATATAACTTTTACTTTAGTAAAGCCTCAAATTGGGGGTTCCTCAAATTTGAAAGACTAGGAATTCTCCCGAAAGTTATCATATTCAAGAAGCCATGAATAATATGGATATCCGACTCTGCCCGTTTGCCACCCCTAATTATTATCATAGAACTCACGGGAAGCTAGACAATGGTGTAAGTATATATGATGCAATTTTAAAGACGTCTAATAATATTACAAAAGCTAGCACTGTCTAAATATATATAGTTCAATAGAAACAAAACAAAATAAAATTAGCTCTCACACGCAAGTATAAGACTCCCCGTATCTGTAATGCATGAAACTTGAAAGGAGTTTTAAGTCCAGTGGTGCTATGAATGATAACATAATTCATGTAACTGTGAAGGGACAAACAAATTCGAAAATATGCTATGTAACTGCTTTTTTTTGGTACCAAATTGGATCAAAGCATAAGTATAGTTTCAAACATATGTGTATTAGTTTCTTGTTTGCATGTGAATACTGTGTCAAGCAATACACACATTTTAAAACAACATAATTAAATAGCCAACTAAACATATGTGTAAAGCGTATTACCCAAAATTTTGAAGGAAAATGCACGCTGAAAATGATGAATAGTGTAAGATAAACATGATCTTGAACTCAAAATGATTGGATATAATATTTGATCTGTAACGTAAATGATTATATTTGGTTAGGTAGGTATTTTGTGATTATATTAATTTTGATGTTATGAGGTACATATATGTGATATAATTGTAATATTTCGTTGTAAACGATATTTTTGGAGTATGTTTTATTCTGCTCTTTCATGATTAGAATTTTTGTTTTCACATTGATAAGTGCAATATAGAATTGTGCATAGAATAAAAACTTCGTCGTACATGTTATATATTTTCCTGAAAGAATGAAAGAATCAAATGTTTATAAATTTTTTGTCAATTAAGTACACAGCAGCTGAAAAGAATGAAAATACTGTTCTTTTTATTTCATACCTACTTAGCAAGGTTCTCTTGCTTCAAACAAAATTAAATTAATTTTAAAAAAAAATTGAAGAGGAGAGATTATGTGATTGTTTTTGCTCTATCGTTTGTCATGATGTTCTATATTTCATAATTCAACTATTTAGAGTTTCTTTAGTGCGAAAGATCTTGGGAATAGAGATATTACTCTCATATAAGTTACTATTTATCTACTATTCCAAAGTCAACAGAGTTGATAGATTGATAATCAAAAATTAAATCAAACATAAATGATATAGGGTAAGCTTCTCTTCCTTTATTTTATTTTATTTTTGGCAAAATTTATCTCCAACTTCCCTTTGCCAAACACAAAAAAAAAAAAAAAAAAAAAAAAAAAAAGCAGGAA